AGAGACTTTAACCCCTGTGCCACCGGGGAGGCACTTCACTGTTAGTTTAAAAAAAAATCACAAACAACCTAGTTATCCCTTCAGTATTGCAATCTATCTGCTACAGAGTCAGCCTTTTACTAAATACAATATCCAACTCTCTGAAGTCTTTGCCTACAGGTTATTCCCCTGGGTTTCGGACATCTTTATGACTAAAAATAGTTCTCCATTGGTCCCTCCAAGATGAAGCAAAAGCTTGTACCCCAAGCAAAAAGTAATCACCATTCTTGGTGCAATCAAAATTGAGAAAGCTGAAGACCAAACTCAGATCACTCTTATGAGCACAAAACCTACATATTCTTTGCATACATTTTAAGTCATTGAGAACTTTCTCAAGCACTCACCTCATTTCATCTTTAGGCAATTCCTTTATTAACTGTCTTTTATAGCTTAATATTGTATATGTGTGACTTTGTAAAGAATTCACTTTGTTAAATTAGGATTCAGCACTAAACCTTCCAAGGTTTCAACAGATCAGATCTGAATCAAATCAGTCTCTAGTTTTGAAGGGGTTAAACCACTCCCTCTGACTCTGTGGCTTGAGTTTCATCTTTACCTTGGATTTCTGTTTTTCAGATTCATTATATCCACATCACCTGTTCATGCCTCACCCGAGGCTTTATGGTTCCCTTTAAAAATATCAGTGTGGACAAAAATGTTTTCCCTTGACATAACTGAGACAGGCTGGTATTTTCAAGAACAGCTTTACTAAACATGAGGGAAAACAGAAAAGAAATAATTACAGAAAACATACACAGTATAAAAATAGAAAAGTTTCCAACTGAAGGTTTCTGTTCTAAAAATTTCTTCAGAAGTAGGAGAGCTTTGCTGGGCCTCAACAGCCTTTACCCTCGTCAGCATATCCCTCAATTTTGCTACATCCTGTCTGGACACCTTCTCTCCCACCTCCAGCACCTCATCTATCTCTGAGTCCTGTAATCTTGAGTTGCTATTTTGATCCTCTTAACCCACATTTCAATGAAAAAATAACCAATAACTTACTTTTAAAACTATCATTCTCCTAATAAAAATATCCTGAACTCTCAAAGACCTGCAAAATGCCTATTTGCAAGGTATTTTCAAGTTTTTCAAGTGAATGTTTAAGCTCTTCTGGGTCTTAAACTTTAGCTCTTCCCAAAACTAATGTTAAATGAGAATAAACCAAAAATATATTCTAGAAAGTGATTCCTGGGATAATGAATATTATTTACAATGGCAGATAAGTCTCTGTGGTTAAATCAGTTTAAGAAATGTTAGGTTAAATTAAGTTTCACAATTTTCTTCACTACGTAATTTCTCACATCAGTCAAAAAATATTTTTGAGCCCCTGTTATGTACCAGGTGCTGCTCTGATACTGAGAAGTCCCTTGTAAAGAGTAGACAGGATGGTCAAGATCCCTGCACTGCTCTTACAGAATTCACTTTCTGGGTGGGGAATCACCCAATAAGTAAACAAGCAAGCAAGATATAAAATAATGGTAAAGACCTTAAGGGGTGACATGTTAGGGAGGAACAGAACATGGGGAAATCTATCAGAGTAAACAGGGAGTTCAAAGACCTAGCAGGAGAAAACTTGGCAAATTGCAGGAAGAGGAAAGAACTGGAGCCGAGTAACTTAGCAGGGAAAAGCATCTGAGGAGGTCTAGGCTTAGAGGGCATGGGAAAGAGTAAGATTTTTTGCTGGTGCAAAGGAAAGTGATTTGAAAATTTTTAAGTGTTGGCATGATTTTAATCTACAATTTGAAAAGTAATATCTTTGGCTGTAGAGAATGGAGTGAGAGGTTAAGATTACATGTGGAAAACCAGGTAGCATGCTCTTACTAGTTCAGCTATAGACAGGTCAAGGCACCAGCTAGCTCTTGGCCTCTTCTCTTAAGGGTACTAATTCATTCATCATGACTCCACCTTCATGGCCTAGTTACCTTGCACAGAGCCCACCTCCTCCTGCCAACACATTGGGGGTTAGGATTTCAACTTAGGAAGTTTACAGTGACACAAACATTCAGTCCATAGCAAGTGTATCCACTTAGACTGTGGTATGTAGATATGGAGAAATTTTTAATAATTATTTTAGTGCATTAGCTGTAAAAAGTGAGAGACCTTAGAGATAGCATGAAAGACTAAACAGCCTCTGGACCTGCCTGTGGAGTGGGGACAGGGAAGGGGACGGGGCTTCAGCATATACTTGGGGTTTTTTGTTTGTGTTTTTCACATAAACAATAGCTGAGTTCCTTAATTATTTTTACATTGTTGTAGTTCCCACAGTTCCCTGCCACCACATCACCTGTAGCCATGACCGTGCTCCCCTGTGTTGTTCCGTCCCCTGTGTTGACTCCCTCCTTCCCCCTGCCAGGCTGTATGCCTCTGGTCTGTGGTTCACTTGCTGGTTTTGACTTTTTTCTTGACCTTTTGTTTCGTTTCTTTATGCAAGTCCAATGAAAATCTCAATGGCATTCTTCAAAGAAATGCAACTAATATTGAAATAAACGTGGAACCACAGCATGTATTTGAGTAGAGACAACAGGGTTTCCTGATGGGCTAATGTGGAAAATAAGGAACAGAAAGAAGACAGTGGTGACCTCTCACAGGTCTCACAGACCTCACAGACCTCACAGATCTCACGGGTCTCACAGATCTCACGGGTCTCACAGATCTCATGGGTCTCACAGGTCTCACAGATCTCACAGATCTCATGGGTCTCACAGATCTTACGGGTCTCACAGATTTTAATGCTAGGGTTCCAAGGGAAACATTTTGGGAAATACTGTTTATACCCCCGAAGTGCTCCATCATGGCATGATATATTTGCATCTCAGGTCACATAAGCAAGCCTCCCCCCTCTAAACAGAGAGGTGTTGCAGTAAAAGCCATTGGTTGCTAAACAATATACTGCCCTGATGAATCAAATCAAATCTGTCTGCAGGAAGTCACATGTGCCAAGTGCAGTAAGAAGGAAAGAAGGGCTACTCTACCACCCTCACTGAGCCAAACCTCACATGCTGGCAGTTTTAGCATTTTTGCATTAATAATAGCTATTTTGGCAGAGGAGTGAGATTAAAAGTCTGAAGGGAAGCCCAGACTGTGAAGTATGTAACTCTTTTTTAGGAAACTAGCATTTGGGTGTTTCTACCTATATCTAATATATCAAAGTATTATTTGATGCTTTGGAAAAAGTTAATGTAAATAAAGGTATTTTTTTTTCTCTATTTTCTAGTTAGTTTGCATTTGTTTTGTTATAGGGAACAGAAGTTCACTCAGAGAGGACAGGCTTCTCTCTAGGATACGTTTTTCACTCTCTCTCTTTCTACTCCCCCACCCCTGCCTCTCTGTCTCTGCCACTCTCTCAGCCATGTGAGGATAAAAGAGAAAAGAGCCATTCACAAACTAGAAAGAGGGCTCTCGCTAGACACCAGATCTGCTGGGGTCTTGATCTTATACTTCTTAGCCTCCAAAACAGTAAGAAGTAAATGTTAATGAAACTACATGGTTCATAACATTCTGCTATAACAGCCCAACCTGATTAAGACACACAGTTACATCTTAGAGGCTTCCTTTTTTTAATGAGGAGACAACAGCAACAGATGTTGGCAAGGACGTGGTGAAAAGGAACTCTCCTGCATTGCTGGTGGGAGTGCAAACTGATCCAACCATTATGGAAGGCTATCTGGAGGCTCCTCAGTCTACTAAAAATGGAGCTACCATATGACCCGGCAATTCTACTCCTAGGGATCTACCCAAAGGACACAAAAACATTGATTCAAAAGAGCACCTGTACCCCTATGTTTATTGCAGCACTAGTTACAATAGGTAAAACCTGGAAACAACCCAAATGCCCAAAAATAGATGACTGGATCAAGAAGATGTGGCACATATACACAATGGAATACTATTCAGCAATCAAAAAAGATAAACTCATGCCATTCGCAGCAAAGTGGATGGAGCTAGAAGGAATTATGCTCAGTGAAATAAGCAAGGAGGAAAAAGAAAAATATCGGATGTTTTCACTTATAGCAGGAATATAGGGGGACCAAATAAGACATCAGTGTAAAAAAATAATAACAGTACAAATCACAACAAAGCAAAAACGAACAACTATAAACAAGAGACATCCTGCAGGGGAGGAGGAGGGAGAGGGATTGGAGGGAGGGAGGGAGGAGCACAGGGGACTGAGGTGATGGTGCAAGGGTGCCTTGGGGAAGGAAACTCTATGGGGACTGCACCTGAGTGGGTGGGGGGAAGCAAATATTGTTTAAAAATTAACAATGATGTAAAAAATGAAAAATTAATATATATTAAAAAAAATGAGGAGACAAGTCCAGAGAGGAGAAACATGACCCAGTGGTAGGAGCTCCAGGTTTGATAAACCTGAATTCTGCTCTCACGTGACTATAGGCAGGTGACTTTATTTGGGCCATCAGTTCTCTTCTGGAAAGGGAGAATACTGGGTAGAGATAAATGATTTTCAAGAGGCATTTCTTTCAGCATTTATAATCCACTTTTATGGCCTGTGGTCAAGTGAAACCACGTCTATCACCAGGTCTGGTGCTTCACTTTGCTTCATTACACCACACCATACTTCCACTAAAACATTTTTTTTATTTTTTCATTTCAACCCATTTATCTCATCTATTAAAATTGCTATGGAAATACTGCAAGAAGGCAATATAGTGCAGTGACAAACATATAAAGTTTAAAACCAAGAAGAGCTTGGTTTGGATCTGGATGTACTCAGCTCTGTGAGCTTGGAGCAGTTACTTAATCTCCTTTCCAGTCTCAGTTTCATCATCTTTAAAACAGGGGTATATATCCCCACCTGGTGGGGTTGCTTATCAGATTAAGATTGTGTCAATAAAACATCATGACTATAGAAGGTACAAAAATTCTACCTTCATCCATTTCAGCTTTTATAACAGAATATTTATAACCAGGTGACTAAAATAACAGAAATTTGTTTCTCACAGATCTGGAGGCTGAGAAGTCCAAGATCAAGGGACCAGCAGTCCTGTGTTTGATGAGGAATCACTTCCTTGTTTACAGATGGCAGAAAAGGGACTTCCTAGCTCTTCACCTGGTCTTAGAAGAACTAATCCCATTTGTGAAGACTCCACCTTCATTATTTGATTACAGCTCAAAGACCTCACCTCCTAATATAGATTGATGGTTAAGATTTCAACATATGCATTTGTGGAAAACACAAACATTCAGTCTGTAACACATTCTATTTCACATTTCACATCTCCCTCTCCCTTTATTATCTGGGAAGATAAACTATTACAGCAAAGAGCTCATGAATTGAATCAGGTTGAGAATGAGACTTGTGGTGGCTTATTTTTACAGAAAATTTTAGTTCAATTCCTCTTTTGAAGACCTTTTCAAAATATTAGTCATATTCCTCTTTTGGAAGTACACACTCTGACTATAATTGAATCTTTCTTGATGATTGAAGACCTTGCCATGCCTTAGGCTTATTATTCAGAACATGAATTCAAATTCATTCAATTGCATAGATAAATATGCAGAAGGTACAAAACGTAGTTGGGACATGCTGAATTCAGGAAATCTAGAAGTTTGTGGTTTTGAGTTGAAATCCTTGTTAACAATTTCTGTGTGGTTCAGACTTCTAAATAGTGCAAACATTACCTGACTAGATGAGGCTTTTAGATCTTGTATTCTAATTAAATATGTGATCAACATATTTTTGTAAAGCCTACTTTGTCAAAGGATCGGAGCAGCTATCATTTTGAACATAGGAAATACAAAGGCTAGTTTGAATCCTTAAGAAACACATACTGTCAATGGGGAGGTGTAGGGGCCGGAAGGGGCGCAGTGCAGGTTTTCTGATCCCATGCAGATCGGGTAAAGGAGGAGTCAGAGTCCTCAGTAGTTTTGCAGGTGTTTTATTTGGGGTTCACCAGGCATATGGCAGGTAGGGGTGCTGGCTGGGGGGCTGGGAGGCTGGCAGGCCTCCCAGCCCCCAGCAAGTCCTCACTCTATCTGGGCTCTCTAGCGTTCGTTCTGCTGCTTCTCGGCTTCGGCTTCGGCTGCGGCTGCGGCTGCGGCTGCTGCTGCTGCTGGTGCTGGTGCTGCTGGCGTCCCCCCGTGATGCCGCCCTTAAAAGCACAGTCTTAGCTCAGCTGAATCCCATCTACCTATGCCCACACCCTATTCCAGGTGCCCACCATCAGGCATGCATTCAGGACAAGGATCCATCATCTATCCTGATGGCGGAAGGGCAGAAAAGCCTGATATTTTCTTTACCCTACAGTCCACCCCCTCAGGGTTTTCTGCCATACAGTCTATACATATATACACAATTTTCTAAGCAAACAAACAATGCAGCCATGGCCCACAAAAGCAAATACATCAAATAACAAAATACAACAGAACAAAATACAACAGAACACAAATAAGTCCAGGCAGGGCACCAACCAAGTGCAAAAGACAATTATTGGTACCAGCAGATGAGCCACCAAATCTGCTGCCGAAGGCACTGCTCATACGAGGGAGGGGAAATCACACACGGCATCTGCTATAACACACCAGGAGCCGTCAGGCTTCCTGGCCTTCTCTGGCTGTAGTCTCGGCTACAAGGCACACACAGCATCCACCCCCAGGATGCACTAGCTCTGGGATTGGCAATTTTATTCTGTTGGGGGTAATCACCAACCCTCAGGGTTTCTGTCTGCAGTCACTCCAACACTTGGCCTTCATAGCCACCCATGCGACTCACAGACCCCTGCACTCAGGCCAACCCACTGCACAATCACATGGGCCGAGGATCCAAACTCTGCATTCAGCTTGGGCTCCACCCCAAGCCACGTTCCCCACCCGTCCCCCAAGGACAGGTTCCTCAGCTCCTCACCCTCACTCAAGAATGAGCAGGGCATCACCCACAGGTGATTTTACGAGACTCACAGTTCTTCAGCATACCCAGGCTGCTTAGGGCTTCTCAACTTAGCATCAGCACCAGCTTTTGCTGCCTTAGTTGGCTTTTCTCCTCCACCTGGCTGCTGGGCATGCACAGGCTGCTTTTGGCCATCAAGGCCCACTGGCCACCCCCAGATTCTCAAAAAAAAAAAAAAAAAAAAAAAAACCATAACCTGCCAAGGTCCTCCGCCTTCTGGCGGGATTGTCAGTCCAAGTTTATCAATCCATGTCCACTGGCCTCTCCCTGCGTCAGCAGCGGCCTGCTGCCTCAGGGGTCATTGGCTGGTCCTTTCCGGTGTCGTTGCCTGGTCCTCTCGGGCGTCTCCTCCATGCGAGGTCTCGTCCCACAGCTCCGGACCGTATCCACCTTCTGTGCCGCCATGGCACCTCCAGCGTCATCACAGGCAAACGGTCTGTTCTCCTTAGTCCCTCCAGGTCTTCGGAGGGCTCCAATACCCGTCTGCATGGATCCTGCCGACTTACGCCAATTGTAAGGGCAGGAACGGGCACAGTGCAGGTTTTCTGATCCCATGCAGATCGGGTAAAGGAGGAGTCAGAGTCCTCAGTAGTTTTGCAGGTGTTTTATTTGGGGTTCACCAGGCATATGGCAGGTAGGGGTGCTGGCTGGGGGGCTGGGAGGCTGGCAGGCCTCCCAGCCCCCAGCAAGTCCTCACTCTATCTGGGCTCTCTAGCGTTCGTTCTGCTGCTTCTCGGCTTCGGCTGCGGCTGCGGCTGCGGCTGCGGCTGCGGCTGCGGCGGCTGCTGCTGCTGCTGGTGCTGGTGCTGCTGGCGTCCCCCCGTGATGCCGCCCTTAAAAGCACAGTCTTAGCTCAGCTGAATCCCATCTACCTATGCCCACACCCTATTCCAGGTGCCCACCATCAGGCATGCATTCAGGACAAGGATCCATCATCTATCCTGATGGCGGAAGGGCAGAAAAGCCTGATATTTTCTTTACCCTACAGGAGGCAAAACACAAACTCATAAAAAAGTAACTATAACAAGCCTCAAATCAGTTCTTGAAATAATACTCAAGCCTTTGCAGGATTTGGGCCAGCAGTGCTTTTGGTTAGAAGAATATTTGATAGGGAAAGTTCTTTTAGATAGAGTGAATAGTTGGAAGAAATGCATGGGGATGGGAAAGTCTGGGGTATATCCAAAGGACCATAAGCTATTCATTTCAGAGATAATTAAGGCTAAAGCAGACATTTAGTTGAGACATTCCTAGCTTTTATTATACAAACTGAATGTGCAGATGTCATGAAAAGTGGTTCTTGGGCCCCTAGAGTTACAGGAAATGATGTGTATTATACATTCTTTTGTAAATTTGTCTCTGTGGGCCAATAATATGTAGGTCACAAGTGAATTCATAGGGCTTCCAGTTTGCATCTTGTTAAAGGCCTAGGCCCAACTTAGAGACCAGAGAGGTCTAGAATACCCAACAACCCTACCATGATCCATTCCTGGTAGAAAACAACCTTTAGTCGTGAGATAGGCCCTGGGTTTGGATCCCCACTGACCCTCCTTTAATTCAAGCCAGGAGTGTGGAGGAGGGTGAGAAACAGGTTTCTCTAATCTCCCCACTTGCCTCACCTGTCCTTCATTTGCTAGCCCAGCTCTTGCCCATTCCCATCCTACACTTGCTCCTTAAAAACAAGGTCATGTTCCTCAGAGAGGAAATGGATTTACACATTTCTCTATGAAAGCAGAAAATGAGAGAAGGAAAAATCTGTGCAGGATCCTAGCATTATGGGACGACTTAAGTCTGCTTTGAAGAAAGCACTCCCCAAAAGAGCTTTTAAAAAAAATGATATAACTGTATATTCCACGTGGAAATATCTGGGCAGTGAGTCCCTTATTAAAAATTGCTGAATGGAAAATCTCTGCAACAGTTTCAAGCCCTGATTGATTCTGATAAGGAGAAAAAGGTTGATGAGATTCTCAAACTCAGCATTCCACTTGTAAAGCAAATCTAGACTAAGATGCATTTCAAAGAATGTTTGGCAATTTTTCTTTTCAAGAAGGCAAACAGTTTATCCTGGAGATGGGATGAGGAAGGCACTTAGATTACTCCCGAAGACCTTCTAGTCTCCTCTTTTTTGGGTTTTTGTCCATGTCTGGCCTCTGCGTCCCCTCCCTTCACCTCCAGTAGCATGCACAACTGCCCACAATACAGTGCAAACCTCCTTTCCCAGCATGGAAAAGGGCCAGGGTGGTAAAATTGAAAGGGGCCCTAGAGGCATTGAATTCACCCTACTGGCTTTTGAGATAAAGAAAATAAGGCCCAGAAAGATAAAGCAGCCTGGCTGAATGTTGTAGGGATGGTGTAGCGGCATGACAGCCACCGAGCAGGGTTTCTATGATCCAGCAGCCCGGGTAAAGGAGGAGAGAGTCTTGGAGCCCTGGGTGGGTTTTCGGGCTTTTATTGGGATTCACCAGGCACACGGCAGGCAGGGGTGCCTGGGGGCTGGGAGGCCTGCCTGCAAGTCTTCACTTTTTCTGGCCTTCTCTGGTGGCCTCTGCTGCTCTGCTCTCGGTTCTGCTTCCGCTTTTCTGCTTCTGCTGGCGTCCCTGTGACGCCACCCTTAAAAGCCCAGTCTCAGCCCAGGTGAATCCCATCTACCTATGCCCACACCCTACTCCAGGTGCCGCCATCAGGCATGCATTCAGGACCGCAAGGATCCATCATCTATCCTGATGGTGGGAGGGCAGAAAAGCCTGATACTTTTTGCCTTACCCTGCCTGTGGCTATGTAGAAACTGCAGAAAGGCTAGCTCTTCTGCAGAGGCATCTGGATTTTAAACTGCACAAAATTGAGGCTCTGTCCTGTTAAAAGTAGATAAATTAAAGTTTACTCGAGATGATGGCAGCATTGGTTACTCGGAAATAGTGGTGGGGAGGGGATGAACTATGGTCTCTTCTTCCCCTGGCATTGCTATTCTTTATGATTGGCACTGTAGGGTGAGGTGAAAAAGCATCAGGCTTTTCTACCCTCTCGCCATTAGGATGGTGACGGATCCCTGTGGTCCTGAATGCATGCCTGATGGCGGGCACCTGGCGTGGGGTGTGGGCATGATACATAGGTGGGTACACCTGGGCTGAGAGACTGGGCTTCTAGGGGCGGCGTCACGGGGACACCAGTGGAACAGAACTACCCGGAGGGAGACACAAGAAGAGAAGCAAAGGCCACGAGAGAATGCCAGAGAGCCCAGAAAGACTGAAGACTTGCTGGGGTCTAGAGGCCTGCCTGCCTCCCAGCCCCCTGCCTGCCATCTACCTGGTCAATCCCAATAAAATCCTGCAAAAGCCATCGAGGGCTCCAGGACTCTCTTCCTTTACCCCGTCTGCTAGAATCATAGAAAACCTGCCCTGTGCCCTTCCTGCCCCTCACAAGAACTCACCTCCATGACCCTATCTTCCCTGAGTGATACTAGCATGCCGTACCCTTTTATTCTTGGGAGGAAATGTGACCAACAACTAGATCACACCTTCATGGGCAGTGAAAAATCATTTGAAACTCCTTACATCTAAGGGTCAGCAGACCACTACTTGTAGGCTAAATTCATCTGGCCACCTGTTCTTGTAGGCTTAACAGAAAATCATTCACAAGCCCTGTCTTCAAGCACTGGTCACGCTGTATGAGTGATTTCTATTCCTGTCCATCTTCCAAGACTTTTGACCTTATGAAAGATTCCACTTTTCTTAGATGACACAGGTAACTCTGTAAGTATTTGTAAGATGAAAGGGGTTATTGGTGGT